TGAAGATGCCTATCACAAGAAATAATTTTAATTCTACATTGGCAAAAAAGTATGGTTACTTTGTCACAATATCAAAACTAGTTGCCCTTGTGACAAGTTAGATTATTATCAGCTTACACCATTTTTTATTTGTGAATAAATAAATTCAATTTCTTATCAATTATATCTATCAAAGTCTATAAAGATTCATCTTATATTTTATATATCTCACCTTAAATCATATAAGATAGTGAATATCTTAAGAAAAAAATATATGCCACTTCTTCTTGTAGAAGTAGATAATAATCAAGAGTTAAAAGTAGAAAAAGTTTTAGATTCAAGGTGGATCCAAAATAAGTTAGAATATCTTATTTATTTCTATAGATATGATATTTATAAATACATGTGATAGCTAATAAAGAATCTTATAAATACAGTAAAGAAATATTGATGCTTTTTATTGATAATATCTATTAAAATTAAGATGAAGAATAGTAAATTATTGTTATAAAAGGAACAAGATACAAGGAAGATAATATTATACTTTCTTTCCTTATTTGTATTTTTTGTATATTTGTAGTCCTAAAGAGATAGAGAACCAATAACCAATAAATTCAACTCAAGAGCTATAATTTGTTGACTTATTAGATAAGATATTATAATTTTTACAGCTTTTAAGATGATGTAATAGAAATGAAGATCTTCAAAAATAACATGTTCTTCAAATAAATGGCAAGATATAATGCATTTGGTATCACAACTTTGGAAGAGACTATCAATGTTTGGTGATTTTATTAAAAGTAGGAACAATTTTTGATAGTATTTCAAATGTTTTATTTGAAAAGAATTACAAAGGCCTCTATAATGATCAAATAATAGGATGGTCTTTTTTCCTTAATATGGAATACTATCAATTGTTGAAAAAACATATCAACCATCTTTAAAGTGAAGAAATATCAAAGTATATAGAAAATATAATTTATCGCGCTTTAGACTTCTTCAACATATAATGACCATTCTTTGTAGAACTCATCCCCAAAAAGAAAGATAATATCACTAACATACATATTTATTTAAATAAGAAGTCCTAAATAAATAAATAAAAAAATATAGACAAATATAATACTATCTTATAGCAATGCTTCTTAGAAGCTTTATAAATGCATATTTGACTTTATATATATATATTTATATATATTTATAGTTGATTGATAGGTTAAAAACTTAGCAAAAAAATTAGCCATGTGTTGCACAAGTCGATAATTTGTGGCACGAGCTAATGATATGGTGTGCATATAAGAAACTTGCTTTAAAAGTGAAGACACATGTCTCACAAATTGGACATGATTAGGAGGTCCTATAGAATGTCACTTTGTAGCTCATCATGAGATAGTATATATAGAAACAAGAGTGAAGCCTTCTTCATTCTTGTCATTGCCTTTCTAATTTTTAGTCTTATTTCAAGACTTTTTAATCTTCTTTTTATTGGCAATAGCTATTTTAGTTTAATAATATACTATATTTGAGTGATTTCTACTCCTTTTGAGTGATACAAGAGTTTATTGATCTTTTAGTTCTTTGAGATTCATGTTTGTGATACGTAATTATTATGAAGCACTCATATTTTATTTTAAATTATTATTTATTGTTTTTAAAACAAACCAAGTAATCTAATATATAAAGTAATAATCATATATTACAAATTTATTTTTAAGCCAAATTTAACTTAATAGCATATATAATAAGATTTGCCAAAAAATCTAATATTTATATATGCTACTCAAATAAAGAATACACCTTTAGTTAGATATAATATAAAATTATTTAATAAATATTTAAAGTCTTCTATTAAAGATAGATATATTATTTATTTTCTATCATGTTAAAAAAATACATCTAATCAATAAATAATTTTTAAATAAAATTATATATTTAATTATTTATAATGAAATATGAAGAACTATAAAAAATTTAGAATATATTGAATAGACCAATTAATTTCATAAAAAAATATAAATATAAAAGACCTAATAAAATATACATAATACCTAGAAATTTAAATATATATAGATATCAAATTTATATTAGAGTTTAAAATTTATTATTTAAAATTTAATAAATCTAATCTTAATTATGAAGAATCAACAATTTATTAAAGACTAGATTAAGTCATCTTTAATATGATTATAATCAGTTTTTTGAGATATATTAATTTTATATATATATATATATAAAAATTTTTGACTAAGTACATGTGTATTTTTTAATTTGATTGTAAGTATTGTTAGATATATAGATTTCTATTCTATATAATATTGATATAGAATAAGAATCCATATATATGTAAGAAGAGACCGGAAAATAAATAAATGAAGTTATATTTTACCATATGGACGTATTACATGACTCTCATTGGTCTTGAAGTCTTAAAGAGACAATACATCTTATTAATAAATAATTTTTAATCTATCTCTAGGATTTTTTTGATTAGAAATATATCTTAATATTTTAGCCTTAGTCATATCATTATTTATTACTCTATAGGAAATTTTAAACCACATATTAAATCTTACAAAAATAAAATAAAATATATTGAATTTTTAATTAAATAATCTAGAAAAATAAAAATAAAAATATTTTATATCATACATTTTTTTAAATGAAAGTATCTTTGAATACGCCACATAGCTATGAAATATTTTCTTGTAATTTTTTTGAATCTAAAAAGCTATTATCAAAGTATTCCAAAAATTCATATCTAGTTCTATAAAACTTTAGTTCTTAAAAACCTTCAATCTAGCCATTTTATTGTTCAAAGCGAAATTTCTCCTGTAAATATATTAAATTTTAATATTTTTATTAAAAAATTGCACTCATAAATTAGTTAATTATTTTGTAAAAAATCTGTACAGATTCATATTTTTTACAATAGTTACTGTTGATATGATATTATTTAGGATTTTTTAATAAGAATTCATATTGATAATTTGATTTTTATTAATGGTTTAATTCTATTTAACTATTAATTAGAATATTATTTTTTTAATCTAACATATAATCTATTCTTAAAATGTATATGTATTTATATATATATATATATATATATATATATATACCAAGCTTGATATTGTAAAGAGCGAGATCAATGTCTTAGAAATGTTTTTTATGCTACTACATTTAATTAAGAAATATTATTAATGTAAATAATATTTATTATGAGAAATTTGTTATACATTTTATTACAACTAAGCAAGCCAGCCCTTGAAATCATGAACAGTATACTATTATTTTTTTATTTTTTTTTATTTTTTTTTAACAAACTTGTAAATCTTTTAATCCTTGTTCTTGATATTTTTTCTTATTTTTTATTTAAAAGAATTATATTTTTATTTAAATTTTAACATGTTTATGAGTTTATTTTGAAGAGAGCTTATTTATTTTAGTGTTTCAAATCTTTGTAAAAATAAAACTTATCAGTGACAAGTAAAGAATCGCAAAAAAGACTTATTTTTATGGCCTTTTTTTGGCATTATAGAGTGGATTTCTCCTTCATATCCATAAATTGAATTAAATAAATCATAAAAAGGAGATGATAAAAGTTTTTACTTAATCAATGAGATAACTTTTGGTTTTTGTTTGTTTTTTTCTTTTATTAGATACAAGTCATAGATTGTGCTTTTCTTCCATCTGAACCACCTTATTTGTTTTCAACATTGTACAGACTTATTAATATTTTATTTTAATTGGAATCTAATTATTCAAGATAAATCTTGTAAGGAAAAAAAAAAACTAAAAAAAAAAAAAAAAAAAAAAAAAAACTAACATCAAACATACAAGTTGTGTGCTTTTTATTTCATTTTATCTTAATTGTTTTCCAATTGTAAATTGTCACTATAAAATTTTCACCTGGAGTTGAGAACAATAATGTTGTGCTAGTCAAAGAATACAGTTTTTAGAGTAGATTTCCAAATAGTAACACCAGTTCCCATTGGACTAAGGTTTCACCATGAAGGAACCTCCTATTATTCCTGATTGACCATAATGGAGATAGAGCAGCTCTGTCTATATGTTAAAACATCATTTAATGGGACAAAAATCCCTCTTCACACAATGTATTGAAATCAAAATGATGAAAAAGAAATTAATGTGTGATTTGTGGTCACGGAATTTTTTTATAATGGATTTCATAAATCGCCAGGTTTCTAAACTTTCTAAAATTACTAGGTTTTGGTTTAAACTAACTCATTCATTCTGAATAATATATATATATATATATTTATATATACATGTATATATATATTAAAATTTTAAATAACCATGTCTGTTCATATAACATGTAACCAAAACAAGAACTTATATAAACTATCTTTGCACTCAACAATACAAACTTATGATGGTACATTGAATGAGTTTGGATGAGGTCCAATATTCCAACATTAGCATACCTGGTATAATGAGGATTAGGGTTTGTGGTTGCCAAACTGAGCCATGAATAGATTCAAAAAGTGATGGAATGTCCAGAATGCAGCAGAATCCAGATGAAACCACAAAGTACATCTACAGATTCAGAGACATGGGTGGATGATTACTTTGCCAATCACTTCAAATTCATTTGCACTGCTCATGTGCAAATTAAACAGTGCATCCATTAAAAAAAATTGACACCAACTAGTGTAACAAGCATTGAACAGCACTTGGGACGCCAAGTTTTGTCACCACAGGGAAGTAAGTGACAGCATTTCGAAGATGTAAAAAAACGCTTGAACAGAAAGAAAAAAAACTGGGTCGTGTTGAAGGATTGAAGCATCTCATCCACAACCGTTACCTCCGCAACTCCTCATGAAATGAGACTTTGCTTGCCATGTTAATTTCACTACTGCTCACTCATCTTACAGACAGACAGCTCATTTCAAAAAGCGTAAAGTTTGCTGGTGAAAGGGATGCTTCGACGCGTCAAGCACCACATGATCTTCCAAATCTCAACCAAGGAGTGAAGAACGAATGTCTAGTCAAATACCAAAGATGGGTCTTGTCTTTCAGAGAGCGAGTTGTAGCTATGGAAATGCTTGAGCTGCTGCATTTTGTGTTCCCTGCGCATCTAGTTTTATGGCCCAGTTCATATGGTCACGACCCCACCTGGAACAGCTAGTCTGCTCACAACGACAATGTCCGTATCAACCTTTTGATTTTTGTCAGAATAGAAACTCTGGTATCGTTCTCCTCAACAAGTTTAGTATCGCGCACACATTGATCAACACATTCGGCAGAGAACGAACAATTATACTCAGCGTCAATGGAGTCTCTCGGGTAATTGGAAGCAACAAGTTGTAGGCTAAAAACTTGCTGGCAGAATTTCAACGGGCGCAAAGGAGATCCTCACTGAGTACCTATCCTTGCTCAAAAGCTGAGGGACAACACGTACAATTCAGGCACCTATGGCAGTGCTTCCTGTCGCAACCCAAAAATATAAAAACGGGAAGATTCTACACAAGGAATCTCACATCGACAGACGTGAGATGAATAGATGGAATTCTTATATATCTAAAGGGGATACGTGTGATAAATGAGGTGTCTGTTATCAGTTGTCAGTCTTCGTACCCCTGAGCCTTTCCCTTACCACCTTGAGCACGCTGTGCTCACTGGTTGCCTTTATTGATTGCTGCGTCTTCACATCCTGTTGTTTTAGAAATGCAGGTTTCCAGCTGCGGTGAATTCTGCGACTGGGTTTGTATGCTGCTGGAGTTTGGATGCTGCTAAAAAAAAGTAAGTACGAGCGCGGTTATGACAAGAGTCATCTGCAGTTTGCGTTAACTGTTACTTTTGGCTCTCTAATTTGGGAATACTCAACATAAGGGTTGTACTGCGCGTGTTGGGCAAAATCCGTCCCTGAACCCTCGTGATTCTCGTGTGTGTTTGATTGTTTGCGGGCGGATAATGGGGACCTTGCAAAAGTGGGAAGGATTTGAGAATTTGAGAAGTACAGCTGCATGGGCTGAGGCTATTTTGCAGAGCTTGCCATCCCGTTTGGTGGTCCTGCAGGGATTCGAAACTCAACCTGACTTCTATTGAATGAGAGCATTACTTCAGGAATTGAAGACAACGGAGCTGGAGATTGTGGGTTAGGATTGACGTTGTGAGAAATTCTATTCCATCATGTATATTGTGGAGAACAAAGGGCCGGCCATAGCACTCATGTTAGGGGCGCTGGTGTTTCTGGGGACATGGCCTGCGATTATGAACTTGGTGGAGAGAAGGGGCCGCCATCTGGTGCACACCTACTTAGACTACAGCATCACCAATTTCCTGGCTGGTTTATTGATTGCTCTCACCTTGGGCCAGATTGGCAGCAGCACGCCCGAACAGCCCAATTTCATCACCCAGCTGCATCAGGTACGACTGCAGTTTCTCATGCGAATCCTTGATTTCCAATGATTTCGTGATGTTTATCGTCTTTGTTTATCTATGTAGAAGTGAGCCTTGAAGTCACCATGGAACTTAGTGGAATTATAGCATTTAAATTTCTATAGTGGCCACCGGATTGACAGGGTTTGCATGCCATGGATTGGACAGGACAATTGGCCATCAGTTGGGTTTGCGTTGGCTGGTGGGCTGGTGCTCTTCATGGGCAACTTGGCGTGCCAGTATGCATGGCCGTTCGTGGGGCTCTCCGTTACCGAAGTGGTCTCTGCAAGCATCACGGTTGTGGCAGGTGCATGTTATTCTCATGTTGACCCTCAATTAGCTAGACCCTTTTTAGAACACATTAGTAGCTTCAAATCCCAACTGAGAACGCAAATTCTCCTCTCGGCTGTCTGTTGGTGATGATTTTAAGGTTTTGTGAAAATTGCGGAACTCTTTGCGGTAAAGGTGGTCTTTTGTGTGGATTTTTCCTACATGGAGTTGAAGATAAGAGATGGGTGTGCTGCAGGAACCACCATGAATTATTTTTTAGACGATCGGATCAATCGAGCGGAGGTTTTGTTTCCAGGTGTGGGCTGTTTCTTGATAGCTGTGTGGTTAGGGGCATGGCTGCTCAAGTCCAACTCTGCCGACAATGCTGCAAAGCTGCAAGCTCATCACAAGTAACTTCTTACCCCAGGTCTTGCTCCAAAGAGATTGACACTCACGCATGTTGTTAACCAGCCGTGGATTAACGTCAGATTAATCAGATATAACCATCTCTCTGGTTTCGATCGGATCTAGCAATTCCTTTCTCTACTTTTCCTACTCTACTGCTAATTGAGTCACATGACGCTTGAAAGAGTTCAGTGATGCAACACAGGATTGGAACGAACAGCGAACCTGATCCTGAAAGCGTAGTCCGGGACTCAGGTAGTGAAACTGATTCCATCAATTTCGTTCCTTCTTTCTTGCTTGGAAGACAAAGCACAAACTTAAGCAAAAAAAATTTAAAACGAAGTTAGAAATTCACATTTCGGCTAGCACAGGGGATGTCTCAACCGTGGATACTGCAGCAGATTTCATAGCAGAGGAGCCGGTTAAAGCTCTCCCAGGAAGTGGTGCATACTTGCAACAATTAGAGGAACAAAGAGCACTAAAGGTAGGCCATGAGACCAACTCTGGGTTAGCGCTAAACTCTTCATATTCACATACAAATACACATCATGTGCACACAACCTGGCCACGAGTGCTGAACAGACAAACCATGTGGGTCACCCCGACACATGAATTGGTAGTTGGAATTTCCTCAACAGAATGCGGAATTAATTTTGTTCAGTGTGGAATACTGTGCAGTCGAGCGGAGCCAGCACCATATTCGGACTAGCAATTGTGGTGTTTGCGGGGATATGCTTCTCCCTGTTCTCACCTGCCTTCAACATCGCCACCAACGATCAGTGGCATATGCTGAAGCCTGGTGTGCCCCACCTGGTGGTGTACACCGCCTTCTTCTGGTTCAGTCTCAGTGCTTTCGTCGGAGCCATGTCGATCAACATTTTCTTCATGTACCACCCCATCTTAGGACTGAAGAAAACTTCCTTCAAGGCCTATATTAGTGACTGGAACGGCAGGAAATGGGCATTCCTGGCGGGTTTTCTATGCGGTCTAGGCAACGGCCTGCAGTTCATGGGAGGCCAGGCTGCAGGCTATGCCGCTGCAGACGCAGTTCAGGTTTGCAAAAACCTAAACTTTTGCTCAATATTTTTGTTGTGAGGTGAACATGAAAGCTTGGATATGAATGTGATCACCTTTGAAGATTTTATTATAGATACCCATCTAAGAGGACTGTTTGAAAACTGTTTTTTTGTGTGATAGGCGTTGCCACTTGTGAGCACATTCTGGGGCATATTGGTATTCAAGGAATACTACAGATCGTCGAGGAGAACGTATGTTTTGTTGGTGGCGATGCTGGTGATGTTCTCGGCAGCAGTGGGCATTCTCGCAGGCTCTGCTGGTCACAGAAAAGCTGATTAGGTTCACAAGTGTACATGTATTATTCCATGGTTTTGAAAGGAGGGTTGAATTAGTTTTCTGTTATAATTTTCTATTTTCTATTTTCTATTTTTTTTCTAAAAGGAATAATTGGATTGCCTTATTTTTTTTAATTTTTTTTAAGAAAAGAGCATCTGAAAGAACATTTTGTGCAAAAAATGTTTCTAAATTGTTTGTTGGTGTTTTCTTAAACTCCGTAAATGGATTCTGGTAGAAAAATAATTGTTTGAAAATTACCACATGTTGGATAAGTGACAATTTAGAGAATTGGAACTAGGATTTTGGAACAATGCACTTTCCCCTATTTATAGGTACTTAAACAAGATTCGGGGGCTTTCTGTCCTTTTAATATAATAATAATTATTATTATTATTATTATTTTAAAAACAATTACCGTGTGTTTTGCAATTTCTTATAATTTCATTGTGCATACAGGAGATAACAATAACAAAAAAATAATAATGATAATAATATACACTATTTTGATGATGTATTTTTCTTTTCTACTACTCAAGTCTACATGATGGCAAAGAATTCGAACCCTCACAACCTTTTTTTTTGTATAAGAGGGGTTTTTATAATTTTCTGTTTTGTTTGTTCTTTGATTCAAAATTTTAATACTATGTTAAGACTGATGGTATTCAAGACTAAATTATTTATTATTTTTAGAATCTCATGTATGAAATTAAAAAATAATCATAAAATTCATGAATTATGAATATCCCAAAATAATGTCTACCATGTATTGACAAGTAATCTGAAAACCTAACAATTGCATTGTTGACATGTTTTTGAACATCTTGCCAATTGCAATGAAATAATAATATATATGCGTATTTGAATTTGATAAGCCAATTCTAAATTTTTCATTTGATTTTATGCAATGATATGCAATACCAATACTAAATGATTTTGTTTTTAAGCCAATAACTCATTATATATAAATCTATTTTATGTTATATAAAAATATTTTGTATTTGAACTCTTTTAAATACATATATATGTATGATACAATGCTTATTAGGGTTTTTCCTAATTCCAAGTAAAGTAAGAGGATGGTGTTGGAATAAATATTGTTATTTGGTATGTAAAAATGATTATGCAAAATATGAATTTTGGTAATTTTTGGGATTTTTAGAAGAACTATTTTATTATAAAATAAAATAAAAATTATACTTAAAATTAACTAAATTAAAATATTAAATAAAACTGAAAATGTAATATGAACATTAATTTTGTTTAAATAGTTGCAATTCATTAAGGTATCATTTCAATTTATTTTAGAAAAATATCTTACAGTTTTAATCATCTTATAATAACAAAAATTAGTAGCAAGTAAACCACATTCATATATAAAGTACATTGTAATATAAAAAATTAAGCATTAATTAATTAAGCTTGCAATATAATTTTTTTCTAAAAATTACTTTAATATCTTCAAAAGTATACACATAAGAATGCATAATACACTTTCAATCAAATCTAAGTTGATAATTTTTAATATAAGTTCTTTCACCTTGTTGATACTTATTGCATATACAATAAGCAATGGAAATTTTAAAATACAATGAAAAATTGACTTAATATTTTTAAACCTAATATATATATTTTAGAATAAAATAAATTCTACTAACTTTCATTCTATTCAAAATTTATGCTTAAATGGTCCATATTTATAAAAAGAATGACAATTACTTAGTTTTATTGCAAAGACCATTTATAAAATCAAGGTTGCAAAGAAACATCACAAATATACCAACTTTTAGTATTAGCTTAAAAAATGTTAGCTCACTTATTTTGAAAAAAAATAAATATTTTATTACAATTAAATATCTTCTAATTTAATTTATTATAAAAATAGCACTTAAAAGTACATAATTTTTTTTACGTTGATTTCAAAAATAGTTTGTTAATTTTGTAACTTGATCATTTTAAAATACCAAAATTGAGTAAATTTATGCATTTTAAAATTTACTTAATATCTTAATTCAATTTTTTAAATTAAACTTAACTATTTTATGTAAGTCTTATTTTTTTACTTCTTGCTAAACAATCCAATTCTTCTCAATATATACCAAAGTACTATAGGTCTTTTATTATTGATATAATTAATTATAGATCATTGAAATATTTTTAAAAATAAAGAAATGTATGTTGATCATAATACACACTTTATTGTATTATAAATATAGTAGTGAAAATCCATGCCAATAGCCATAAAAAATATGTAAAATATATTATGTCATGCCACTTGGCTTTTGTAATATCTATAATGTCTCTCTCTCTCACTTTGCTCTTAAAGATTTGCTTTGTCCTCTTTCTTGATTCGTAGTCAAAGTAACAAAAATTATTCACCTATTCTAAAGTTGAATTTGTCTTCACTTAAAATCCGTTTAATCTACAACAACTAAGGAAAAAAAAAAAAAAAAAAAAAAAAAAAAAATGCATAGATTCATCCTAATACATCAATAAGAGTGTTTAAAGCAAGTTAAGCATTAGATTAGCAAACCTTGGATGCACACAAACAAATATCACAATAAATCCAACGACACCTTCTTTCTTAAAAATTGCCATAGCTAGGTTCCATCTTGCCCCCACAATTGCTCCCAGATTTCCACAAAGCCAACTTTCTACTTCTTTATAATTCCATTCTACTAAATAATGTGTCCAAATATATGCTATAAAATTCACATTCTATGACTACAATCTCTTTATGTCTATACTTTGAATTCTCAATCTAACTCTCTTCTCAAATTGATACAAAATTACATTTGCAATGCCCTAGGAATAAAAATCTTATGACTTAATTGGAATTATAAGCTTCTTTTCAAAATAATTTCATTTCACTTAATACAATGTCATATGGTATAATTTTCTATCTAAAAATACATCGAGTACTTAGTTGTAGAGAGTTTAGCTTTAACTTATTGAAAAAGTTTTAATAAGAAATATATTCTTATTATAGAGGCCAAAATAATATAATAATATAAAAATATATTCTATTTATAAAATTCTTTTATATTTAAGAAGCTTTATACATAAAGATTTCTAAAGCATGTAGAAATGTCCTAATATCCTTTGCTATACAAAATCATAACCAACTATTTGCTAGTAAATTTGATTTTCTATAAGCTGAAAGAAAATCCATAATCTTCTTACAAATATCTATCTTTATATTATAATTTTTTCATAGCTCTATATTTCCATCTTTAACATGTATATGAAGTCTTAACTTCCAAAAATCCATTTATTTTGCATAAAATATCCAAATTATAGCAAAAAAATTTAAAGGTATTTTTCTTCTACAAAAGATTTTTTCTCTCCAACCTTTAGAAATTCATATTTCTTAATCCAACTATCCATTTTTAATTTTTTTTTTAAATAATATATAATTTATTCTTAAGCTTTACTATAAAAAAATAAATTATAAATCTACTACAAATTATCTCGCATCTTAAAAATTCTAGCATGTATTTTAAATCCTAATTTACAAGCATTCAAACACTATTTTTTCATATCTCAATAATCCAAACTCTGAATACTAAAAATTTTATGTATAAAGTTTATTAATATGATAATATACATTCTTGAAAAAATTTAGTCAAAATCTTATCAAATCGCTCAAGATATAGCTTGAATCACAACCATTAGTAAATCAGATGACTTACTGCCTTTAGATTGCAAGCACTGACTTCAACTTCATGTAACTCCTTCATCTTAGCTTAGAATTCATCAAGTAATACATAAAAAGTGTAGCCAAATTTTTTTTTTCTCCAATCCTAGTTGTTGATATTTCATTTCTTTCGGTATATGTACATTATGCCTAAAAAAATGGCAATTGGTATAAACCAACACCTTAACTTTGAGCATCTATATCACTTCCATAAAAACTCCAAATCACCCAAAATTTGCACCTAAACCATGGCCAAAATCCTAAAATCTTTGATCTTAGCCTTATAAGTTTGAATGACCTCTAAAGAATAATCCTAATCCCTAATAAGGCCTCGGGTAGTTTCCTTGAAGTCCATTGGACATGAATTTTGGCCAATAAGTATGGAGATTTTCATCATCCATCTCCATTCATCCGTATGGACGCCCTAATTATTCTTTTTCCTACCAAAATCCCTCTTCAACTCTTTTTCTTATAAAATCTACATAATATATGTTCTAAATACCAAACAAAAGAAACAAAATAAGATTTCAAGAGTCACCAATGTCTAAAAAAGATGGCTCTAAATATATAAACTATTATTAATATAAAATGAATCTCAATAATAGCCCTTTTAAACTAACCACTTCAAAGTAGTAATCTAACCATATTTTGTGACTAACTAAAATTTAATAATATGGCTGTTACCACATTGTATAGTAAATTGTGCATTAAATATTTATGTATATTATTTTCACATAGTAGCCAAACCACAACATGACAACGGTTGTATGTACAGCCATTGATTTTGAATTATTTATTCAATCTTCTTTATTTGTAATTCAATTTAGATTTAAAAGATTCTTTAGACTACTTATTTCTCTGTACTATGGCATCTAGAATCCTTCCAAATATATCCAAGATAAGGATGAATTGTGCTAGAAAGATTTGTTGCCATTGACAATCCATCATCATCCACTTCTATCTTTGACTCTTCTTTTTGTTAGTATTTGTATATCAAAATGTTACGTTATTATAAATGAAAGTATGGTATTCTATTATATCAGCTAATTTTCTCAATTGTTTTGTCAAAATGAACACTTCAAGTCAATGGTCCTAAAGATCACTTACAATTATAATTAATATAAAGAATTACATTATCTTAAATATTTGGTTATTGTTTTTTTGGCAATTGAAGTTTACAGAATGATTTTACATGTAAATGGTTGTAGATGGCTTTGAATGTTTGTACAAATAGTATGACAAGTTTTGCACAAGTATTCTATGAACCATGTCTTCATTGTGAAAGAATACAAATGAAATGCAAGCAATTTATCAAAATCACAATGTAGTGCTATATCATACCTCAATGATAGTTCCAATCATTGAGGTATGGAAGTAAAATGAGTCTTAATTTCTTGCAGCAAATTTTTTTTGTAAGTACTTTTGATTCATTACTTAATAACTTTTGGTATGAATAGTACATAATCTTAC